GTGTTTATTTAAGGAAGTTGCCGAAGAGATCTAATTGCAGCATAGTATATGTCATTGACGTTCACCCCCGCATTAGACACACCCTCGTACGTAGATCCTTGACAAAAAAAATGATATGGAAAGAATTCAACAGACACACGATCATTTTTGCAGAGTTTGGCTATTGAAACAAGATTAGTATGTAATTTTGGAACAAAGAGAACATTGTTTAAGTTTAGAGAACGAGTATGAGTAGGGAGAGATGTTTGACCAGTATGAGAAATTGGAAGAGTCGTACCATTTCCTAGCATAATTTCATCGGGTCCTCCATATTTCGATAGAGTGTGAAAAGAAGCCCCGCTGTCAAACATCCATAGAGGTGTTGGGGAAGTCGATCCAGCAGCAGTGGTGTTGACTGTTGGAGATGAGGATGAGATGATGATGTTGTTTTCCCTAATAAATCTTGCTAGTTTCCTACAATCCTTGGTATTGTGACCTGGGATGTTGCAATATTGACAGTAAGCAGAATTTTTATTACTACGATTTGAGAAAGTATTGCCAGTGGGGGCAGATTGAGGTCGATTTCCTGAAAAGCGAGATCCAGAGTTGTTGTTGTTGAATCTGTTGAATGAGCGATTGTCTGAGTTCTGTTTGGAAGGGTTGCGGTTCTGAAATTTTTGGGTGTTGTTGACTGTGGCTATAATCGGTGAGGATGAGGTGACTTTTAAGGTTCTCTCATGATCGACAAGCTTATTGAACAAATCAGGGAAAGTGATTATGGTGTCTCGAATCTTTAAAGTAGTAGATATGTGGGCATAGTCTTCACCAAGTTGGCCCAGAATGTGAACTATTTGGTCTTCTACATCCACTAGGCTTTGAGCAAGGGATATTTCATCTGCAATTGTTTTCATCTCATTGAGAAAATCAACAACGGGCCTAGAGCCTCTTGGGTTATTTGCGAGTCTTGATTTAAGGGAAATAATTCATTAGCGAGAGATGCTTACGTAGCTCTCACTCAGTCGTTTGAAGGCCTGGCGAGAGGTTTTTGCAGAAGATGTCACAACTAGCAATTTAGCTAGGATATTCAATACTTTTGTAAACTTTAACAATGGCAACAATGGGATATGAGCAAAAGGTAAGAGATCAAACCGATTCTGACGCTGCTTCGGATAAAGGGATTCTCACTCCAAGTAGGGAATTTTCTCAGTAATAGGATAGATGAGTCTCGGAAGTCAGAACAAGGCCGTGGCATCTATGCCAAGTGAAGCCTCATGAATAAGTATAAGGAGGGATGAAATCCAAGTAAGTAGCTGCAGTCGCAAGTGTCTTTTCTGCGTTTAGGAGTTCTTCTTCGTTTAGTTTCGGAATCTGGTTAGGGAGTTTCACTCTGGGATTGTAACCATAGCTTGAAAATGTGTATGATGTTCCATCAAAATCTAATTGAAATTCAAAACTCTATTCAAAACATTTCAAATAGTCAACTTAGGATTTGAAACTCTAAGAATCCCGGTTTAAGTCCATTATGGAGTAGGATTTCCTTATTGGGCCTAATGGACCAACAAGCTTCCAATTTGACTATTTTGGGCTTAGGACCCTTAAATGGACTCTAATTGGATCCACTTTCATGAAACTTAACATTTTGGGCCATAATGGGTCCAAAATAAATTTGTTTACCCTTAATGGGCCATAACTAATCCAATTAACCCTAATAGGCCATAAATCCATTCTTTTATGTCAAATTGGGCCGATAATACATTTAAGGGCCTAATGGGCTGAAAACCTTCTTATGGGCTTTATAATTTAGAGTAAGGACCAAGGCAAGGCCCAAGCTTCCCCCTAATTACCCCTGTCTCGGCCCATGTTAAAAAAAACAAAACAATAAGAGGGTGATTAGGTGCCACCTCACTAATAACCTTCAGTTAACCATGCTATTATTTCACATACATTTATGCACTTAGCAATGGACCTCTAAGTAAAAACGAATCCACCTCCCTCCTATTCTTCTTAAATCTTGGCCATAAGACCAAAAACCATCACCATACTCATTTTTGCATACAAAAATCTCTTAATGAAGCCCCCAAGAACTCCTACATTTCCTCTAAATTTCAAGACTTAGAGTGTACCACATGAGGTTTACACCAAGTTTTCAACCATAATTGGTAAGTCCTCACATATCCAAGTGATACAACTTCATTTTTTTATGTTAGAACACTCCTTCTAAACACTTTTTGTGATCATTCTCTTAGAAACCTTCTAAACTCGAAAACCACACACAGAAAGCTTGCTAAGGCCGAAAACAACATCATCTTCTCATATCCCTTCATCAAAACTGATCCATCACCCCAAGGTGAGTTCATACCCCCTTGTTTTCGGTTTTTACATGATTTTTTAGGGGAGGATACAAGTAAAAATGTGTGGATCTATGTGTTATACGCTTGATATGTGTGATTTCTTAGTTTATTTTGTAAAAATGCATTAGATCTTAACACATATCGACATCTTAATCAACAATGAGTAAAAATGCATGAATTAAGTCACCTTATACATCATATTATCAAGTTAAGTGTTTATATGTTTAAGATATGAAAAATTCAAAGCAAAAGTCTTGTTAAGGGTCATATTTGTCAAGAAAACAAAAGATAAAGGCAAAAAGTGACATTTACAGTTTTATAAGGATCAAACAGGTCATACTTGTACAAAAATGGGTTTTTATCATAACCATACTTTTCAAAGTGCCAAAAGTGTAAATTTTAGCCTAACAGGCTTAATATTTGGGCCTCACGGTTTCCGGCCCAAATTTGCGAAAAATAAGAAGTTTTGGGGTTAAAAATGTTATTTAATCAAAGTTTGAGCCATAAATGTAAATAAACCAAATTTAGGGATAAAATAACATCTATTTCTAAATTGGGACTAAAAATGCAAAGTTTTTGGATTTTGTGCCAAAAATGTAAAATTCATGGGATTTGGACCAAAAGCGAAATCATTTTATGAATAAGGGTTGAAAATGTAAATTCTTATAAATCAAGGGTTGAAATGGTCAAATATATATTTCGAGTCAAACGTGTCACATATTAAAACATTGGACAAAAAATATAAGTTTTTTTTATAAGAATTTAAAATTAGTATATTTTATAAACCAATAATATCGTTATAGATCAAACATTGAGTATCTTAATATCATAAGTAAATGTTTCATATAAAAACACTATACCACATTAAATATACAAAAAATAGAAGAATGGTATCAATATTGGGCCTGATACTTGTAATACATGGTTATTAGGCCTTTGTAATCCATTTGCATGTTTATTGGGCCCAATATAATCAATTCATATCTACTGGGCCTTAGTAACCCAATAACATAATCAATGGGTCTAAACTAATTTTTACATGTTAATGGGCCTTAGTGGCCCATTTGCATGTTAATTTTTCCCGGAAAGAGTCATTGTATGCTTAATGGGCTTCGACGTGTCCGTTGGCATGCCATCAAGCCTTGAAATAAATTACATGTTTAATGGGCCATAGTTGTCCTTATGCATGTTTGTTGGGCTGTTTCTATCACATTCAAGTATCATCAAGTGTTAGTAAATCTAATTACGTTTAACAGTAAACATATTCATGTGGAAATCATTGGGGTCTAGTGAGAATTATCGGTCGACATCTTTGAGTGTTTGGCCATAGCCTGTAGTTATAATCAGAGTCTCCAGGAGGGAGGGTGAGAGTTTGTGTATAGATCTATATGGGGGTGACCCCCCCCCCCCACCCACACACACACACACACACCTGAGCTGTTCGCTACAGTTAGACTCGGCCAGTCTAGGATGACAAAATCTTGACCAAAACCGGCGTTTGGAAAAATGCCAAGTCAGGCGAATTAGTCATTTATCATGCAGGGTTATAATGACTCACATAAAGATCCATTACCATCTATACTTTTCATGGGAAATCAAATTCATATATTGTGGTGATACAAGACACTTCATACGAGAATACATTTATTACAATACTATTATAGATCGGGAAATATCGCATTTTCCGGGAATTACCATCATTTACTTTCTTTTACATGCATCAAATTCAAGACAAGGAAAATTTTGGGATTCATTCATTTACACCTGTTTTGAAATCACACATACACACACATATATTAGATCACCACATCATGTTGTAAACCAATTTTACAGAAAATATCAGATTTTCTGGGTTATATCATCGATACAAAGCTTTTCAATCAAACTTGCTTATGAACTCACCAACATTGTATATGTTGACCGTTTTCAAAATAACTTGTATTCTCAGGCAACCGTTAAGGAGAAGAACCTTCAAGGGTATGGATTTATTTTGTGTAATGTCAAGCATCATACAATTATTAATATTTTGGAATATGTAGTCTAAGACAATGTACTTGATGTGAACAATACCAGTTGTATTATGTAAGTTTGGTGATAATCTTGTTATGTTTCATGTATATTCATTGTGATGATATTTCAATTTATAGTCACACGAGCCCTCAGACATTTCCACCGTCTAGTTCGAGGGTGTGAAAGGTTGGTATCTGAGCATTGTTTATAGTGAACTAGTATATCTAACAATACATGATATGGAACTATAAACACAATGGGACTAAATACCTCTAAATAAAATAAACTTTTCATACTTATGTGCGCATAATAGGATAACAACATAATAATACTTAATAAAAGTTTTTGGAGGATTTGAACATTTCAATTGTGCCCGGACAATTATGTAATCGTATAGGGGGTGAGTGTAGTCTGATCAACTACATTCATCTAAAGTATGATTAACATGTGCTTGGGAGTGATTGTGGTGGACAGTGAAACAAAAACTTACCCTTTTAGGAATACCCAGAGAGGAGTTTGTAAAACCAAACATAAATAATTAGATTACCATTGGAGTAAATACATGTATGAATTAGCATTCATCATTTTCGTGCAGATACCATGGCCGGATTTCATCACTCCAGAGATCGTTATTTCCCCAACCAGGGAAATAATGGGCGAATGGAAGAATCGGAGGAGGGGCCTGAAGAAAACCCTAAAGGAGGCCCTGACATGGGTCAGGAGGTGGGACCCAAAGTGGAACCGGAAGAGTATGTGGTAACTGATTACGAATATGGCGAATCTAACCAGGAGTTAGATGAAGGAAATGACGTTGAGGAGGCATGCAGTGAACCCCACCTATCGAAAGCCCCATCAGATCCACGCACGGTTCTGAAGAGTGATACAGACCATTTACGCTCTCTTGAGGAAGAAATAACCAATCTGAAGCGTCAAATCTTTGCAGGCAAAGAAAGGGTTGTACAAGTCGAGAAAAGGGTTAAGGTAATCACCCAAGAGGCAAATAAACTGGTTGAACTCCAGATACGTCAGCTCGATGATTGAGTGTCATCGTCATCACTACTAATGGGACTTGCTCTACTACTTGCTATATGTGGAACCCGCCGATATTGTGTTTCTTCTAACGCGTACTACCCTATGTACTATTAACCTTATGTCTTAATGTTGTCGGATCATACATTCTCCCTATGTATTATATGCCTTTTCAGGCAAATTTTCCTGTATTAAAATGACTATTCCTAGTAGAAATGCTATGTGTTTTAATATGGGGTTTCGCTTATGTGTACAAACCAACCATCGAAACCGCCAGAAACTCAAGAACCTCGCAACAAAAATAATCTATAAACTCTATGAGTAAAACTTAATATCCATGCCAAATCTACGATTACCTACTACAATAAATATATCATCGGGATGTAGATTGAAACATTATGAATCATACGACAAAACGCGAAATTTATAGAGTACAACCAGAAGAGACCGTCGTTATTTACGATCTTGCTTATCATCATGCAGGAAAAAATGTCATCCCACAAAAATAACAAGCACACCCGTGAGACACAAATCCTGCAGATGGACTCTACTACTTTCCAAGCTGCTGTAACCGTTGCTATGGAACAACTCAACACAAACAACACCAATAGAGGAGGAAATAACATCGACAACTCCAGCCGAAGAAACAAGCATGAAAAGCAATGAGTGACAGCTTATCAAGGCACTCCAAACCCCAAGCTTAGGAACAAGAAGAAAAAGTCTGGGAGTAAGAGAAACGGACTGCTAACTCAAGGGTCCTCGAAGAAGCAACATGTTGTTGTTATCCATACAACCGTGACACCTACTACATCAACACTAGCCAAGCCATATGCTGGAAGCCTTCCAAAATGCAAAAAGTGCAATTTCCATCATAAGCGAGCCTGCTAAAATCCGTATTGTAATAGATGCAACCAAAAGAGTCACACCACCAGACACTGTAGGACTTATCAAAGAAGCAACATGTTGTTGTTGTCCATACAACCGTGACACCTACTACATCAACACTAGCTAGGCCATATGCTGGAAGCCTTCCAAAATGCAACAAGTGCAATTTGCATCATAAGGGAGCCTGCCAGAAGCCTTATTGTAATAGATGCAACCGAAAGAGTCACATCACCAGACACTGTAGGACTTATCCACAACAGAATCAACAGCCAAACAACAACAACAAAAATCGCAACAACAGTAACAACAACACCAATTCTGGGGCCAGTCACACCTGCTATGGGTGTGGAGGAACCGATCATTTCAGATGCAACTTCCCCAAAGCCAACAACCAGGGGGCAAGAAGGATCAGGAAGGGTCCTGATTGTGGGTCAAGGAGAGACAATTCAAGACCTGACGATTGTCACTGGTACGTTCCTACTTAACAACATAAACTCATGCATCTCATTCGATAGTGGAATTGAGCAAAGCTTTGTTAGCAACAAATTCAAACCGTTACTAAATCAAGAACCCCCGAAGCCCACCGAAGCCTTCACGGTGGAAATGGCTAAGGGGAAAAACGAAATCAACTAAATATATCAATGTAGGGTGCACGTTAACAATAAACAACCACTATTTCTAAATAAATTTGATGCCAGTAAACACTAGGAGTTTTGATGTGATCATAGACATGAATTGGTTAAGCCCCATCATGCTGATAATATGTGTCGCGAGAAGGTCATTCGCCTTCACCTCCCCAATCATGAAACCCTAATAATTTATGGAGATAAACCTGGAGCCAACCTTCGTCCTATCTTGTGCATCAAAGCATAGAAATGCCTACACTAGAGGAACTACACATTCCTTGCTCACATTGTAGATAGTCCAAAGAAGAAATAAACATTCAAGATATCCCAATGGCGTGTGAATTTCCAAGGCGTATTTCCTGAGGATATTCTGGGAATACCCCTATGATAACAGGTCAAATTTTGAATTGATCTTGTACTAGGAGCCACTCCAATTGCCAAATCACCCTATAGGTTGGCTCCCGCGAAAACGCAGGAACTATCAAGCCAACTAAAGCGAGTTCCTGAGTAAGGGATTCATCAGACCCAACTTCTCACAATAGGGAAGCACCGATCCTTTTCGTTAAAAGAAAAACGGATCCTTCAGGATTTGTGTCGATTATAGAGAAATAAATAAGCTTACTATCAAGAATCGCTATCCACTTCCACGAATCGATGATCTATTTGACCAGCTTCAAGGAGCTAGTTACTTCTCTAAAATAGATCTAAGGCCCGGTTATCATCAGCTCCGAGTCCGAGAGGAGGAAATTACAAGGACTGCTTTTCGAACTCGACAAGACCATTTTAAATTCGTTGTGAGACCCTTCGGTCTAATGAATGCTCCCACGGTATTCATGGACCCAACGAACCGAATTTTCCCAACCATTCCTAGTCAGCCTTTTCATTATTTTCATTGATGGTATACCCATCTGCTCACTAAGTAAGAACGAAACATTGTCAAATCCTACGACCGGCCTTGAAGGCATCAAGGCCAGGAGAGTATCGCGGAAGAAGCACTACGTTGATGGGTTAAAACTCTCGAAGTCAAAAGACAAAGCTTATTATTATATGAGTCGAATTGGGCACTATCTGGATGATCAACGATAGGTTAACCAAATCTGCTCATTTCCTACCAATAAAGAAATCAAACAAGACAGAAAGATTAACACAGATCTATAGCAAAGGGATCATGAAACTCCATGAATTACCGGTATCCATTATCTCAGGTCAGAATAACGGATTTACTTCAAGATTTTGACAGTCACTTTAGAAGGCTATGAGAACACAGCTAGACATGATCATTGCTTACCACCCTCAACCGATGGCCAAAGCAAGCGAACCATCTAAACACTCGAATACATGATCCGGACTTGTGTGATTGATTTCGGAAAGTCATGGGACACCTAAATGCCCTTGATTGAACTCACATACAATAACACCTATCACACAAGTATTAAGGTTGCTCCATTCGAGGCCTTATATGGTCGCAAATTCAGATCTCCTCTATGCTGGGCTGAGGTGGGTGACTCACATCCAACAAAAAAGGGCAAGCACCGAACAGTACTTTAGCAGGGCCCAAGATTATTCGTGAAATGACCAAAAACATAATCCAAATCAAATCTCGACTCCAAGCATCGCGAGACCGACAGAGAAGCTATGCGAACATGCGGCGAAAATCATTAGAATTTAAAGTCGGGGACCGATTGTTATTGAAGGCCTCTCTATGGAAAGGCATGATCCGCTTTGGGAAATGAGGAACAGCTATGCCCACGATACATTGGACCATTCGAGACTCTTGTATGGATTATTCCAATGGCTTACAAGCTGCAGCTACCAGCCGAGCTCAGCAACATACATCCCGTGTTCCACATCTCGAATCTGAAAAAGTGTCTATCAGATGAAACCCTTGTCGTTCCTTTTGAAGAGATTGAGATAAATGAGAATCTCCTGGTTTTCGAAGAACCCGTCAATATTATGGATAGGGAAGTAAAGCGTACGAAGTAGAGTCGCATTCCAATTATGAAGGTATGGTGGAATGCAAAGCGTGGACCAGAATTCACTTGGGAACGTGAAGACCAAATGAGACAGAAGTACCCTCACTTATTCTCGCATTCTCAAACCTAGTTTCAAAAGAATTTCGGGACGAAATTCCCTCTATCGGGGGGATGATGTCACAACTAGCAAATTAGCAAGGAAATTCAATACTTTTGTAAATGTTAACAATGGCAACAATTGTACCCATAACTTGAAAATGTGTATGATGTTCCATCAAAATCCAATTGAAATTCAAAACTCTGTTTAAAGCACTTCAAATAGTCAACTTAGGATTGGAAACCCTAAGAATCCCAATTTAAGTCCATTATGGACTAGGATTTCCTTATTAGGCCTAATGGACCAATAAGCTTCCAGTTTGACTATTTTGGGCTTAGGGCCCTTAAAGGGACTCTAATTGGACCCACTTTCATGAAACCTAACATTTTATTCGATAATGGGTTCAAAATAAATTGGTTTACCCTTAATGGGCCTTATTGGGCCATAACTAATCCAATTAACCCTAATAGGCCATAAATCCATTCTTTTATGTCAAATTGTGCCGATAATACATTTAAGGGACTAATGGGCCGAAAACCTTCTTATGGGCTTTAAAGTTTCGAGTAAGGACCAAGGAAAGGCCCTAGCTTCCCCATAATCACCCCTTTCTCGGCCCATTTAAAAAAAACAAAAAAAAAACAAAACAATAAGAGGGTGATTAGTAAGGTGCCACCTAACTAATAACCTTTAGTTAACCATGCTATTATTTCACATACATTTATGCACTTAGCAATGGATATCTAAGTAAAACGCAATCCACCTCCCTCCTATTCTTCTTAAATCTCGGCCATGAGACCAAAAACCATCACCACACTCATTTTTGCATACAAAAATCTCTTAAGGAAGCTCCCAAGAACTCCTACATTTCCTATAAATGTTCGAGAATTAGAGTGTACCTCAATAGGTTTACACCAAGTTTTCAACCATAATTGGTAAGTTTTAACATGATTTTTGGGGGGGAAGACAAGTAAAAATGTGTAGATCTATGTGTTATATGCTTGATATGTGTGATTTCTTAGTTTATTTTGTAAAAATGTGTTAGATCTTAACATATCTCGATATCTAAAGCAACAATGAGTAAAAATCCATGAATTAAGTCACCTTATACATCATATTATCAAGTTAAGTGTTTATATGTTTAAGATATGAAAAATTCAAAGAAAAAATCTTGTTAAGGGTCATATTTGTCAAGAAAACAAAAGATAAAGGCAAAAAGTGACATTTACAGTTTTATAAGGATCAAACAGGTTATACTTGTACAAAAATGGGTTTTTATCATAACCATACTTTTCAAAGGGCCAAAAGTGTCAATTTTAGCCTAACAGGCTTAATATTTGGGCCTCACGGTTTCCGGCCCAAATTTGCGAAAAATAAGAAGTTTTGGGGTTAAAAATGTTATTTAATCAAAGTTTGAGCCATAAATGTAAATAA